GAAAATTGTCGCCTTTCGAAAGGCCTTTTGATAAATTTTCTTCTACGGCTTTGCCAATCATCACCCCTATCACGTCCAGTTCTAACATCATCTGAAATAACTTGAATTCTGTCAAGACTAATCAGCGCAGCATTTGATTTACCAGAGCTATTCAGATGGATTGGTTTAGTTGATTTGTTGCCCTCTTGTCGCCATGCTCTACCACTTTCAGATTCATCACTTTCATCTTCCAATTCAGCAAGCTTTTTGTTGCCATCTTCAGAGCTTGTTTCCTCTTTATTTTCTACAGAATCTTTTCTTTTTTTCATCTGAGAAATAGTATCTCCAGTTTCCCGCCTCTTTTTTGCATGTTTAGCATTCATCACATCAGAACACTCATGATCTTTAGATTTTTTTCGCTTTTTTGAGCGTTCTTTGATACTCTTAAGTGAAACTTTCTTAGCGGAGTCTATTTTGACCTCTGTGGAACTGAATTTTTTCACACGGGCTTCAATTTTAGCTCTTTCCTCTGCAGGTAGTTTATCCAAATCAAACTGAGGCAAGGAAAGCTCGTCTGCCTTTGCTTCTTTAGACTTTGATCTCTCCAATCTAGAGCCTACTTTTTTATGTCTTCCAGGACAATCTTTTGAAGGAACTGAAGATTCTGACAATTTCTTGTCTTGAGACCTTGAACGTCGATATTTTAACTCATGATCCTTGTGAAAATTTCTGTTCTTATCACCTTGAACTTTAGCTAAGAAAGGTTTATCTGCATCTCGATTGCGCCAATTTCGATCAATTCTTCTATTATCGTCCTTCTTTTTGCCTCTGTAGTCTCTTCCTCTAACTCCCCTTCTTTCATCCATTGTAGGCGAGTTAGGATGTCGACGTGGTGACACTGATCTCTTGTTAGAGGACAAAGGTCTTCTTGGTGGTGTTATGGATCTTTGTCTCTGGGATATAAATGGCAGTGGAGAAACTGATGTTCTCCGTGGGGACGCATGTCTAATAGATGGGGTAATAGATCTTCTCCTTCGAGTAGGTGAAAATGATCTTCGTCTTGGGGACAATGGCCTATGAGATGGTGAATCTGATCTTCGCCTTGGGGACACTGGTCTATGGGGTGGGGAAACTGATCTTCGCCTCGGGGAAATGGGTCTACGATGTGGTAAAACTGATCTTCTCCTTGGGGACACTGGTCTACGAGATGGTGAAACTGATCTTCGCCTCGGTGATACTGCTCTTCTAGGAGGTGAGATTGCTCTTCTAAAAGGTGAGACTGATCTACGTCTTGGAGATAAAACTCTTGATAGTGGCGAAATGGATCTACGTCTTGGAGAGAACTGTCTATATGGGGATATTGACCTTTTTCTTTGAGAAACAGTTTTGTGTGGTGATGATGTAGATCTCTGTCTAGGAGATAGATGCCTGCGTGGTGATAAAGATTTTTTCCAAGGTGAAAGAGGATGAGGTGATCCGGACTGCTGCTTTGGAGAGAGTGGTGGCCTATGAGGAGAGAATGATCTTCTTCTGGGTGACCTAGGTGATAGGGTTCTCTGTCTAGGTGAAAACTGATGTAGGGGTGTTAAAGACTTTTGCCTTGGTGAGCCAGGAGATATTGATTTCGTATGTGGTGAGTGCTGCCTTGGTGTTAATGATCTGCGCCTATATGAAAGTGGAGATTTTGATCTAACAGGAGACCAAGGTGATTGATTTGGAGGAGAACCTGGATAGGATGATTTCGTCTGCATCAATGGAGACATATTTGAAGAAGTTCTTTGAGGTGATAATGGCCTAGGAGATAAATCAGACTTTTCACAGGAAACAGTTACCTGGTTGATAGTTAGTGGTACAGTTTCTTTTGATAAAGAAAGTGGTATCTGTCCTTCATTTAATTGAGGAGATTTTTCTACAGGAGATTGAACAGGACTAGAAATAACTATGCCACCAGAGATTTTATCTGAAGTTTTTTCATTTTCCAAAACCTTATCTTCATCTTCATCGTCACTTGAGGAATCACTAGAATCAGAGGAAGATGAGGATGATGATGAAGATGAGGAAGAGGATGATGATTCTTTTACATAGCCTGTTGTTTTCTCTGTGTTTATTGCTTCACCATTTTTATCTATCTCCTCATCATTCTTTTCTTCTGTAATATCTAATGGTAAACTTAAATGGTTGTCAGGACTCTTTGCTTTTGCCTCTAAAGAAACACTATTATTATCAATAATATTATCTACTAACAAAGGTTCTTCTGCAAGGACATCAAGATCTATACTCTCATTATCACTAATCACAGAATTAACTCCAGAATTCACTTCAGGCACTATTTCATTTTCATCTTCTTCATTGTCTGAGAACTCCAATTTCCGAACTTCAACTTCAAAAGGGGTATCCATAGCCGTTAAATCTTCATTAATCTCTAAATGCTGCACAATATCAACAACACGGGTATCCCCATCATGGTCTGTGTCAAGCCAGTCATCATCATCTTCTTCACTTCCACTATCATTATAACGACTGAACTTGTCTGAAATACAAAATATTTCTTATCAAATATCAACCTATATGAGATTATTTAAAATTATTGAATCCCAAGGAGACAGTTAGCTTTACTTTACAAAAGCTATGAAATGATATACTTTGTAAATGTTCTTATGAAAAAGTTTTTTTTTAGTCAAATTTTTACAAACATCCGACTTTTTTTACTTTCTGTTTATTAGTAGTAATTTTGACTTACATTTCATTCCTTTAGAGCTGAAAAATGCTTTTTAAAAAGGTATTTCTAATTTCTATGTTTAAATTTATTCCAAATTTGCTGGCAGACTTGGCTAATGAAATCTCATACAATTATTGTCTTTTAATGAGCATCTTTTCTGCATGTGATAAATTATTTGTTTTTAAAAAACCTCACTGACTTTTACTATCTTCTCCACACTTTAGCATTTACATAATTACAGAAAGGCAGGATGAATAGTAACAGCATGTCCATGCTTGATATTGATTAATTCTGTAAGTTTTGTCAACCGATGAAAATTCTATACTTTTAGAAGTTCCAGTTTTAGTTGTTTTTGGACAGGAATAAATTTACCAATTAATTGTAGCTTATTATATATTATGCAGTTATGCATGACAATAATGCAGAATTTCAAAAATAAAATAAATTAAAAAGTTAGAACTTACATAAATAGTAGATTAATTGTATTTTAGCTGGAGGAAAAAAATATACCTCTTGGTTTTGAAGTTGGAGAATTTTCTTTATAAGGTTCATTGGCAGCAGCTGGTGATGAAGTGGATAAGTGGTATTTATCCTGAGGTAAAACCAACTTAGATTTTGAAGCCGTCTGTTGTTTTGAAGATATTGTATTATTTGAGAAAACTGTGGCATTCCCTACACTGTTATTCTCCATTTTTTCTTCTGTTTTTGGATTGATAACAATTAAATTTCCACCTGCAGCTTCTGTTTCCAAACCAGTGTAAGGAACACCTTGTTGTCCTAAAGCTCGTCCTCTGTTACCCCCAAAGAAACCTCTAGCTCTCTCAGATATGTAACCTCTGCGTGGGAATCTTCCTCTATCATGTATTGGGCGACCTCTATCTCCAAACGATCTGTGGGGTGCTCTTGTACTATAAACTCTTCTGTCAGACGGGAAACCTCGGGGATGAAAAATTTTATCTCCGGGAAACTGGGAAATGAATTAATGAACCCTCATTAGTGCTGCTATAACAATTTTAAGTTAAAGCACATCATCTGCATAAAAAATTTTCATTGTTAAATTTACATGGTATTCCTTACACATTAAAAACAATTTTAAAATGATATTCCTGACCATATTTTTTATGTTTGCATTCACAAAAAAAAAAAATGAAAAACAAAATTTTGTTGATATCCAACAACATACCCCATTATTGAAAGATTGGTGCCAAACAGGATGTCGATTAACAGGTGGATGTACTCCATGCCCAGGAGGTGGGAGAGAAACATCAAGGGATGGTAGATGGTCCGGTTCCGGCAGTGGTTCAGGCTGGTATTGATGCTTTGAAATTGAAAATATCTTTTGATAAAAATGAACTAGTAATAAAAAAAGCATGGTTATGGAGTCTGAAAAATTTTTAGAACCTTTTTAACTGTTAACACATTATTAAGTACCTCTGGAACAACATCAACACTGACTGGAAACTCGTGCCAAGGGGAACCTTGATGCAATCGATTGATGCCAGATAAACTAGTAATCACTTGCTGAATGGGCTGTGTTTTCTAAATAGAAAAATATGAGAAAGCAAATAACACTTTAATAATGAACTACAAAACATAAGAAACAATTTTTTTTTTCTTCTAAAATTAAAGAAAAATGAAACATTTAAGTTTTTTCTACATTTCATTCCCATCTTTTGGCTTCATAGAATGCCTTACTACCATTCTGCACAGACTTTCTAAGTGCAATACATTTTAAGAAATGTTTTATGAATTTTTTTTGTTGGTGCATTGAAAAAAATAATTAAACATTTTTAATTTTAAAGTTATAGAAAAATGTACTCACTGGTTTTAGAGTTGCCAAGGCTGCTTTACGAAGAGCTTCTATCTCATCATCCTGATGCATTAGAAAATGTAATTTTAAATCAGCTAATTCCATACTCATTGAAAAGTACAAATAGAATGTATAATATAGTCATCCATGGTTTATGCTTTACAAGAGAATACAAATATTAATTAATTTAACTCAGTATAATAAATGATATTTTCTGAACGGGTTAGATAAAATGGAAATTTAATATTTTTTAAATATAGGCCTAAAAGTATTTTCAAATTAAAAAAAAGAATAGCTGACTTGGGCATATACTGCTGATAATCCTACCCAAATTTTTCATAAATTATTTAGTTTCTGAACAAGACATTAAATGCTCTATTTACTGATATTTATAATCATATTTACTATACATGTTAAGGGAATTACACAAGAGATTAGTCCGCTGGTTCCAACAATTTAAAAAATGTTAAACTATATTTTTAGCCACTAACAATTTAAGTGTGATTTTGATTTTCATAAATGTTGCAAGTATGCAAAGTGAAGAATTCCTATCAGTAAGTAAATGGCTGTGAATGCTTTAGTTTTTTTGTCTGGGAAATAATACAAAACTTAATTAACACAATTTGACATTACACAGTCACATTGTGATTTAATACTACTTTTAACTACTTTTAACTTAGTTGTATATTTTATTATTCAGCACTTTTCTGTTTTTTTTAACTCGTTAGTTTGTCACTTCTAAGAATCCAACTTTTAAAAGCTAAGTTCTTATTTCAATTCACTGATTAATTTCAGTAGCAATCGGTATACCAAAAATAAAAATTATTGTTTTGAGTACTTATTAAAAAGATAGCAACACTGTTGGGCTTCTGAGAGTGTGGTAAAATAAAAGGTAATAAATTTGACATAAATAACTAAGCTTAATTAAGCTTTAATTATGTATTATCACCCCCCAATGGAGTTCTGAACAGCCAATAATGCAATAAGTATGTAGCATGACATAAGATAGTGCAGTGTTTCCTTGAATAAACTTAGGTCCAAAGGGGAGCAATTTGAAAATAATGGTAAGAAATAGTCAACAAGATCGAAATATATTAACATTTCTAAAAGAAAACTGATGGGTGTGGGTGTGTTTCAAAAGTTATGAATTTTTTATTAAATAAATTCCTCAAAACCACTTTTTCACTAGTGGATTTCCGTCCACATTTTTTATCCTCATTTTGCTTTTGCTTTTACGTTTATAACTTTATTAATAAATGAGACAAAAATATAATATATACTGGGAATATAGTTAAATAAGTGTTTTACTAAATAGAACATCAAATTTTTAATTTAGCTACTATTAATATTACAAAAAAATATATTCTTTAAATTTCTATAATTTTCCTTTTTAAAAATGTATAAATAATTTATTAAATATGCTGTCTCGACTCTAATTTGTTTTAAATTAAGTGGTTTTTTTAGATATCTTTTAAATTTTACTTAAAATAACAATAATATTCATTAGATATTAAAATTTTCTGTGGAATTGTTTAACATTTATAAGTATAAACAAATAATACAGGGAATATTTGATTCATTTAGTTAAAATTTAAGATTGTACTTTTTATTTTACCATTTTCTATATATGTATTTTAGTTCCATATGAATATGACAAAAAAATTAGGATTTTATTTATTTAAACTCAGTCATTTTGTTTCACAAATCAACATGTATTGTTAGAATCAACTTTTGCAGTTGACAGAAATTAAAATAAGTTCTTGTAATTTGATTGAGGTAAGTACAAGGTTTTATGTTTGTTCTTTAGTAATATTTTAAGCAATTTTTTGATTATTGTGGCAGAAAGTGTTTTTTTTCTTTGAGCACATTGAGGATTATAAAATAATTCTCTTGTGGAATATTGTGATATTTGATTAACTATAGGATATTTCAATACCAAAGGTAAGTGAATAATTGTTTACAGTTTTTTTTTAGTTAATGCCTAAAAATAATATTATTAAAATATGATTGCATAGCCTAAAATATCATTACATATAATTATGTAATTCATAATAGGTCCAACAAATAGTAAATTGGGTTAGGGCTAGGCCTAGGCCTGTATTATTATTAGGCCATATTACATTATATATAAATATCTGAATAGCATTTAGTCTAAAGGGAACTGGGTCCGAATAGAGGCGATGCATATCCGGGTCCATATTGACTAAATGCTATTTGGATGTCATTTGGTTTATTGAAGTTAAACTGAAGAATTAAGTTTATAAACATAGTTCATTCAAATTCAATTATATTTCATTGCATATCAATATCAAATTTTATCTTACTCTTCTTACAAACCCAACAATAATATTTTTAACATGTTTTAATCCGAACCTCTCACTTATGGTAGCCGGGTCCGAATAGCCACTTCGAATTTACAATAGTCAATAGCATTTACTAATATTAAATTTATTTCCCTAAATTCCAAAATATAAGATTTCCAAGTATAACTAATAATAATATCATCTAAATCTAGGAATTTATGCCAACAGTCTCTAGTAGTAATACCAGTGCCAGTAGTTTAATTTTTTTCCCCCAAATCCTAATAAAATAAATTTTATAAAACCAAACATTTTGAAAAAATCAAAAATGATAAACAAAGTCTAAGGCTAAGGAAGGGTAGAATAAATAATAAGGGCTAAGAAGAGGTAAAAAAGGCACTAGATTAGAGGGGTTGGGGGCTTTGTCCTTATTTACAGTTCAAATGACAGTACCAAACTACCAAAATTACTTGATGTTTTAATGACCAGCTAACATTTCCAAAAGTTATGCTTTGACTTAGTGAATAAATTTTGTATCATTTAATATTTAAATTGGAAATAAGATTCCCTCACCTCTTGATCTGACGCCATTTTGGTTTTATATATTCACCTCGGGCGCCTCCTGTATAAATTTGTTCTCCAGGCTGTGACTAAAATTGAAAAACGAAAAAAAAAAAAAAAAATCTATGCAATGTAATAAAAACAGAAAACAAGAAACAAAAAAAATAATTGGAACTAAGATTTCCTCCCCTCTTGACCTGACGCCATTTTGGTTTTATGTATTCACCTCGGGCGCCTCCTGTATAAAGTTTTTCTCCAGGTTGTGACTAAAATTGAAAAACGAAAAAAAAAAAAAAAAATCTATGCAATGTAATAAAGACAGACAACTAGTAGCAACAAAAATAAACTTGTTCAATTCATACATAAAACATTTCGACTCCAGTTTTTCTTGCTTGTGTACAATAATATTTACTGCTGTGATGTTGTTTTGAACAACATTAGGTGTAGTGTATTGGTATTGCTTTCCATTAGAATGGGGTCAATAAGGTCAAGGAGAAGTATAACTCTCTACGTAATAAAGTATTTTTAAAAATGTAAACAAAACCAAAATTTCATAAATAAAAGATATAATTGCAAAATAATTGTTCATTTTTAATGGCTGGATTTCCAAACCTGGGGCTGGGATGCTCAAACTTCCAGGCAGTGGAGTAGTAAGGAGGGCGTAAGGGCTGTCCGACTCTGGTGGCAACTTTTTAATATATTTATCTAGAGGCGATTGGCAAAAGACGCAATTATTACTCATTATTATGAGATATTGCAACCTGTGTTTCCTTCAGACTTCTTCCTCCGCGTAAAAGTGGGGGTGGAGAGAGGTTTTCGTGGGGGGGGGGG